GCACACACAACACGTACGCACACACACACACACGATGCACACACCACACACCAACACACACCACACACACAGCACACACACACACAAACACACACAACACACACACACACACACACACACCACACACACATACGCGCGCGCGACGAGAGAGAGAGAGGAGAGAGAGACAGAGCAGAGAGAGAGAAAAGAGCAGAAAGTTGAAGAGGCGACGAGCGATGCGTATTGTTAAGAAAATATATACATATAGGTAACATATAATTTAAATTAATAAAAACAAAAAGTAAAACATATAATTGCAAAACGTACATTTCTATATATCTTCTATATAGCATATCTTTAATGGCCTCATCTTATCCACACCATGTAGTGGCTTTGATAGCGCTGGCTCTATCCTGGATACTGTGCGCTATTCTCACGGCTGCGGGAGTGCTTCCCGACAACCCACTAGCTGATGCATACTGGGCAAGAACAGACGCAAATTCGGAGGTCATCTCGCAATCTCCCTGGTTCAACATCCCGTACCCAGGTACACATACCGCACGGGGACAACGACTCTTATTATCTGGTTGCATACAAGCTGGAATCATTGTGTGTGCGTGCGTGCCGTCGCGAAGCGTGCGTTGCGTGTGTGCCGTGTGCGTGTGGACTTGTGCGTGGCGCTGTGCGTGTGGTGTGTCCGTGTGCGTAGTTGCGTGTGGTGCTGCGTGGCAGTTGTGCGTGTGCGTGTGCGGGTGCATGTGCGTGTGCGCTGGTGGTGTGTGTGTGTGAAGAAGGAAGAGGGGGAGAGGAGAAACAGACGTTACATTACCTGAATCATGCATCACATTGTGGCACCATGGGGTGTTTATTTCTTATATATTTCTTAGTGAGGACACGAATAATAATTAACAAAATTGATGAAACGAGAGTAAACGCTAGGTAAATCTATCTGAAAAGCCGTGTATTTGACAAATACTATCGTGCATAAGTACTCTTTAGCAATAATTATAATGCATTAAATACATGTAAATGCAACGCTATGGCATGGACACTTCTATGGTAGGTATACTGTTACGTATTAACGTAGACGCCGCTTGCGCGCATATCATCACGCTCTACCTTTCCGCATGTTTATTCACTGGACAGTTTGGCATGCCGACCGTCAGCATTTGCGTCATTTGTCGCATGATAATAGGCATCTTCCGGAATTCTTGAAGCCATTCGGGAGAGTACTACGCCATGCGCAGAAATGCTTGCCAACTGCCCTACCGCCTGCCAGCGCACGCAGAGTAACGGCATTGCTATGCGAAGTAATCGCCTACTTTACGTAGATAGTGATTTGCGATTTATGTGTTGTTTTTTAGATACGCTCCGCGCAACGAGTTGGAGAGGTTATGTGTCGCGCTCTCGTGTGTTCGCCCCGTGTTCGCGCGATCGCATATGCGACGTTCGAGTCAAACGAGCCAGCCAGCCAGGTGGCAGCGAGCCAGCGGAGCGTGTACTGTGAGCGAGCAGCAGCAACGAGCGGCTGCTACGATGCCGAGCGAGCAGCAAGCCAGCAAGCGCAGCGTCTACTGTCAGTAGGCTGGCGTATACTCCCTGTTATTCGTGTGTTCGTGAGGTCCTATGCGTATGGCGTATGTTGTAGCTGGCGGGAGGTATGCGCTCTCGCGTGGGTGCACTCTGTCTAGTTGTATCGTGTGCTTCCCTCCTGTTACAAGGAGCGAATGGCCGGGTGCGAATGAAGCGCGAACACTAGTCTGGCACTGTTATCGTCTGCTACCGGTTAGAATCTGCCTTCACTTTCGTTTTATTCATGCTATAAATTGTTAGCTTCTTTGATATACTGCAACTTTATATATTTAATGACCTGTCTGTGCGTTAGCCAGTTCCGCGCAAGCAATAAAAGACGTTACAATGTAAGACTAGAAGGTAATAACAGTAATAGTAGCGAATGGGTGGTGTATGCCTCTGACAAAGGAAATCAACGTGGGGTTCATGTACTTCTGGCGGCCCTTGTCAGAAACATCAATAAATTATTTTGTCTGTCATAAGCAGTAAATGTCTTTTACCCTACACCTTTTACCCTACACTCATATATATATATATATCAAGAGCTAATAATCGCCTAATAATAATAAAAATAATAATATCTAAGAGCCTGCTAATATTAAGAAAATACTCGATTGATATATATATATATATATATAATATATATAATATATATATGTCTATATGTGTGTGCGTGTGCGGTGCGTGTGCGTGTGCGTGTGCGTGTGCCTGTCGTGGCGTGTGCTGTGCTGCGGTGCGTTGCGTGTGCGTGTGCGTGTGCGTGATGCCGTGCGTGTGTGTGTGTGTGTGTTGTGTGAATAATAAAGTAAATTCAGCTGGGTTTACATGCCATTGCGTAAATCACCACTTGTTTTCTCTGCCAGCGTATCGGCTGCTTCTTATCCGGATCCATCGGCGTGCTCGGTTGGTGTCGATTCTTTACCAGCAACGCGATCACACGCCACGTGCTTGTCTTACTAAGGATATGCTGCGGCTGTCACGCTACACCAACGGCCGAGTTAGGCTGTTGGTTTTCATCTGTGTTTACAAAACAAAAGTAAAAGAAAACTTTTCTATCTCCTTTACTAGCTGTCGTTATTCTGGTAAGACTCCCGTTCATATTTACATTATTTATATCACATAGCACATTGACCATTTATCGCGCCATTCATGTATGCGATGCAGGTAATCAATATTAAAAAAAATATTTTTTCGCACGCGCGTGTGTATATACCTTGTTCGTCGCATGTGTATTCAGTTCGGCCTTTAAAAAAACTTGTCGGTGTTACGCGCGAACAAAATGAAAGCACCGTGGCGTCGTTTATTTTGTTGGTTCGGCCTTGTTAACACGTGAAACAGTTGGATCCGGCGAAACCGACGATGCTCTGTCTCAACACACATACACACACATCGCGCACACTGCCCGCCACACACACGGACACAACACACACACACACAGCACACACACACACACACACACACACCTACAAACAACACAACACATACACTATAACGTACAGCAGGTTCCCGCCGATGCATATCCTGCGACC